GGTCAAAACATGACTTCTTTTTTTCTGAAACCGGCCTGCTTCTGCCGAAATATGTCATCTACAGCAGCTGTGATGTGTTGTAGTATAATTGTTTGATTAATTAATGTTTTTCGCCGAATCTGCAATCTCCCAGCCATATATCGGCGATATAAAGTAACATTATGTGGCCAGTTTTTAAAGTTTTGGGTTTCTCAGATGGCCCCAATGAGCCTCCTCTTCTTCGAAAATCAAAGAAACGATCTTTTGCGTGCTAAGGGGTTTTAATTCTTGACACGGGGCACCATTTGACGTCCCATCCGACGGACCACTGTTGTAGTATGATGTGCACTGAAGACCTTGCTGGTGAGAGAGATAAGTGTAATCCCACGCCAGTTGTTGCAGTCTCCAAGGTCACCTTTCTTGGGCAGCTTGATTATGACTCCTTTCTTTCAGTCATACTGTGATCATATACTATTTGTCCCATATATCTTGGAGGATATGCTGCAGTATGTAAGGTGTTTTTGTTTCTTCTGTTTTCAACAATTCCGGGCATACACCATCATTTCTTGAGGCTTTAATTTTCCATTTATTAGTTCATAGATTGCTTGTTTCACCTCGTTCAGCGTAATGCAGCCTATTTCTATCTCAAGGTCTGTCTCTGCCTCATCAATGTCAGGGAGTATCGATGGATCTGGTCGATTCAAACTCTTCTCAAAATGTTCTCCCCATTTCTCTAGTTTGCGGAGCAATTTCCTGCTTTTACAGAGAGATCTTGGTTGGGGTTGTGATCGCCTCTTATAGTTTCTTTGTAATCTTATAGACGGTTTTCATGTCTTTTCTCTCAGCAGCTCCCTGTGCTTTCTCGGCGAGTTGCTCCGTATAGTGGCGCTAGTCTCTCCTTGCTTACGTCACCACTTCCTTATCTCTCTTTCTATACAAGGCAGCTGCCTTTTTTTTCAATGTGGATGACTTTGCATCTATGATGTTCTTTAGATGTTTCCCCTCGATAGTGATAGTTGCCTCGTCCTGATGTGTGCTGTAACTGTTCCTGAGTGTGATGTTTAACTCCTTTCTGACACCTGGGTCCTTGAACTTGCTGACATCAAATCGCTTGCTGTTGCTATTACCGATTTTGGCCTTTCTTGGCTTAAAACAGATCTTGGCTATAACAAGATTGTGGTCACTACCGATGCCGGCATGGCACACAGCTCGCACGTCCTGCAGGGGGTGTCTCTATTTACTGTTAACCATAATGTGATCAATCTGACTTTTGGTGCTTCCATCTGGTGATGCCCAGGTCAGCTTGAGGATGGTTTTGTGAGCGAAAAGACTACCACCTATGACAAATCATTTTACTCACATGCGCTGATGAGCCTTTTGCCATTGTCAGTGAGGTCGCCCACTGCATGTTGACCCAACACTCTTCTCCTGTTGTGGTTAATTTGACCCCATTTGAAGTGTGACATCATGCCTTGGAATGTCATCAAGTACTGCTTGTAGAGAGCTGTATAGAAGTTGTCTTTAGCTTCTTCTTCTGTATTGTCAGTTGTCAAGTCTGACTTAAAGTAGACGTGCATTGATAGGCTTCCATTGAAGGACCGTATTGGCAACCTTGTGGTTGATGAGGAGAGCTACTCTTTCCTTATGTTTAATATCGCCTCGTCAAGACCATGTAATGACTTCCCCTGAGTTCAGTCTCTCTTTCCCTATTTCTGTCCATCTGACATCACTCATGGCCATCAGAGATAGGTTATAATATTTCATCTAATTTACTGATTTGGCAAATCTTCCGGTTTGGTATAATGTCCAAACATTCCAACACCCAACTCTGATGTGTTATTTCGGTGTCAAGAGATCTTGAACCGTCATAATTCCAGTTGTATGACCTACTTCAATCCGATAACCAATTGAAATATAGTTCCTTGTAGTCGTTTCCGTAGCATATGTGGTTTTACGAAGTGAGGTTCGATAACGCTGCGATGGCGCGATAGCCCCGATGATGCGATGGTACGATGTAGCGATAATGCGATCCTCGATAGCGATGACGTTGGTCGATCGATGATCGATGGCGCGACAGTGAGATACTATATCGTGCCATCTTATTGCTTTATCGCGCTATCGACATCGTGTCATCGCTCTATCGACTACATAGATAGGATGGCATTCTCAGCAGGGACCGGCGATGACTTTAATTTTGTATTTGTATTTTTAAAAAGAAGTGAACATTCATTACAGATTTAAATGACAAATGTATTTTTTGGCACTTTACATATATTATAATAGAACATCGGCATTATCACATGACTATATCAACATGGTTAATTTTTATGCCCAGTAAGTGAAATTCTGTTCATACTTTCACAACCTGACGCCATTTCTCTTTTTAGCTTCACAATATAGTGCGATAGAGCACTAATTGACACGATAGAGCATCGCTTCATCGTTATCGCGTTATCGACATCGACAAAGATCAATGGTGTACATGCATCAGCATCAAGACATGCATAATACGCTTTATCGCTCCATAGTCGTCATCGATTTTTTTGCATCGCGATTTCTCGTTATCGCTTCATCGCTCCATCGTCATCGCAAATGACCATTTGGATTTCCAAAACATATATTTCAACAGAACATCGACATTTTCACATGACAAAGATCAATGGTGTACATGTTTTTCAGCATCAAGACATGCATAATACTAGAGTAGTTCGATTTTTTGCACGCGATTTCTCGCAAATGACCATTTGGATTTCCAAAACTTTTAGGACTTGTGTATCATCACTTTAATCTTACGCGTTTTCCGTTTTAATGACGTCATTTTCGGTCCCGACTTATCGTCATTCTAATGATTTTTTACGTCTGTTTGTCCGAGGATTTCTCCTTATGACCATACTTTCAGATATGACAGACCTATCTCTGTAGATATCCAGAATGTATTCAAGGCCGTAACTAGGCTTAAATTTTTAGTGAGGCAAGGGTGCTGGGCATTCCTAGTCCCAGACGGGGCAAGGGTAGCACCTGATGGCCAGTGATGGGGGTTCCAGGGGGAGGGGGGCCTGAAACCTCGATATTCGAAAATAAAAGATTTAATCTTAGAAAATTTTTACGTTTTGAATTGTGGCCGCATAACACAGTGGTTAGAGCTACATGTATGCTCTAGAGTCGCAAACAAAGGAGTTGATCCGAACATTGCGGGTTCGAATCCCACTGTGGGATGTAGAGACCAGTCCTTCGGATGAGAACGTAAAACCGAGGTCCTACGTCACAGAAGTGATGGCACAAAAAATATCTCTCACTGTTCAATCATCTTCAGTGACCCTGAAAGCCCAGTACATGTACAAGTTCAAAACTTGCAGCCCTCAACCGGCAAGTACTGGTGTCTCAATATGAATGAGAAAGTCTTAGAAGCAGGGACAGAGATATAAATATTTTTATCACTCTGGAAGGGATGTTAAACAATTACCTGGCCCTCCAGCGGCGCCGTAAACAATCAAACAATTTACAAAACATACGTTTTGAATTATATTTTACATGCGTTCAAATGAAAATGAGGCACCTGATGATTTACAGAAATTGAAACAAAAGTTGAAAATATTAATTTAGCACGAAGACACACATAATTCATAAGTTCAATGTTAAACCTTTTCAGGTTTCAGAAAACTCTTAAAATTTAGTGAGGCATTTACCTCACTTGCCTCAATGGCCTTGGTATTTCACTTTTATCGGAAATTCTGCACGTCTGCGCTCTGAAAATTTTTTAAATTAATGTAATTACAGGGGCCAAAATAATTTTTTCTAAATATTTCAACAACCGTGAAAAAATTTCAATACATTACTGAAGCAAGGTTGTTAAAATCCCGAGTGGCACCTAATGTACAACTAATGTACAACTGTTCATATGGGACACAACACTCACCTGAGTTACCAAAGCCCTCTAGAAAAATTTTATTTGTTTTTTTTCTTTCTCACATTTAAAAACAAGATATATGTATATTTTGTAAAACATTGATTCCCAAGTATGACAGATTATGCTCAGAGGGGTGACATTTCTCAAATGCAACTCAAACTTCACATTAAAAGTCAAGGGAATGAAAATATTGGAACCCCCCCCCCCAAAAAAAAATGTCATGGGTTTTTTAAAGGATCAAACTCCAAGGCCAAGGGTCAAAATGAAATATAAAAAGTGAAATATAAAAACCCTAAAAGTAAACAAATTAAACAATTTATGGTCATGGTTGAAGTTTTTCAAAAGTAGACCAATTTCGAAGTTCAAGTCCAAGGAAAAAAACCTTACGGTACACAAAGAAAGGTTTTTTTTTACAAGAAATACTAAGTGTGAACAAGTGCAATATTCCAAATATTAAAAGATATAGCCAAGATTAAGTTTTTTTTAAATTATAGTTCAAGGGGTCAAAATTGATGTTCCAAGGGGAAGGGCTTTTCACAACAAATACTCCTGTGAAAATAAAGCCTTACATAGAGAATTTAAAAGTTATTACCAAAATTCAAAAGGTAGACATCAAGGTCAAAATTATGGTAACCAAGGGATGTAATTGTCACAAGAAATACAAGTGTGGAATATATAAAAAAAAAAACCTAGCACTAACTTGTCAAAAGTTATAATCAAGATTAAAATCTTATAGAAGTAAGTTATACACCAAGGTCAAGTTCAAAAGTATATGTGCCCAATGACAAGTCTCTTTTCAGTTTTGGACAGGGCAAAAATATTTACCCCTAAATCTTTTGATTTAAAACTATATAAATATGTAAAATTTGTTACAAATCAGTCAGAAATGTAAAAAAAAAAAAAAAAAAAAAAAAAAGGTAATAAAGTATCATTTTTAATTGTGATCAAATCTACCATAAGTCATTAGGGCTTTATGGGATTTGATTACATGACCAACTCATATCTTCACAGAAGTTTTAAACTGAAACCTTATTTCTTTATTACATGTCAAGCCATATCTGCAATCCCATTTTGAATTTGGTATCAATCTCTAACTAAACCTAAGTAAAACAAATTATCAACCTATACATGATTTTATTTTATTTCAAAGCAATTCCACACATGATTTTGTAACCAATGAATGAGATTCAACCCTGACCTTGTGCGTCTTCACACGAGAAGTCAGCCAGGAGTATATAATTTACATGTACACACACTACCCGCGTCGTGATACATGTAATGTACAGAATACAATATAGATTCTGATCAAACAATGGAAAACCAAGATAAATAACTACATACTGCCAAAATCATGACTTTTCTGAAAGACTATGTCTTCAGAGAGTAAAAAAAAGTCTCCTCATCTACAGAATTCCAATATTGAATTTTCATTTGATAATTGCCTCGAATTTGTCCTCAGAAAAGTCCAATCTGTGTGCGATAAAATGGAGTATGGTTTATTATGTCACTGATATGGCTTCACAATGTGTGCTGAGTAAATGAAGATCTATAGTAAACACTCTGAGTCACTCATCATCGCAGATAGAGAAGCATTAGACTGGGGTTCTCTAGGTACGACTTCCACAGATTGGAGAATCGAGCCATCGTAGCGCCCTCTATGATGCGGTGATCAGCTGACCAGCTGGCACACATGATCTGTTTCTTGATAACGTTACCATTGTCATCAAAACGAGGTAATGTCTGGAAAGAGATTTAAATATCATGATATTAGAAAACAAGTATAATCAGGTTTTTATGTACAATCAAATTAAGCAGTCGTCTGTGGGAACCATTTCCTCAGAGGTGACCTTTGAATAGATATTCATCTTTTCTGAGAAAATTCTATTCCAATTTATTAACATAAAATTTATTTAACGTTCTACAATACTCTTATAATAAGTGTGAAGAACTCCCTTTCATGCCAGTAGACAGTTACAGGATAAAACTTACTTGTAGCTTTCCTAGTGCACCTATTGCCACTTCTGGTGGTAATATCACAGGTCTGGCATAAGTTCCTCCTATCTGTGAAAAATATTAAAGGACTAAAAGCTAAGATTTTCAATTGTCTTCTACAAAGCTAATATCAAAATTAAAAAAAATAGTTTCCAATAATACAGAACATTGGTGAAACAGAAAATATCCACAATATAAAATTGGATACAATAGGTTAATTAAATTTTAAAATTAACAATAAGTGTTCAGATCTGACCTCTGAACTTTGACCTTTTGCTTCACTCACCACTCCAATATTAGACAGTGAGAAAGTCCCCCCAGTTAACTCAGCATTGGTCAGTTTTCCAGCCATTCCCAGGGCCTGGAGACGATTCAGTTCTACTGCGATGTCATAAATACTCAGAGACTGGACATTCTTCACGCTGGGGACAACCAAACCCTCCGGGGTATCCATGGCAATGCCAATATTATGTGCTGCCTGCAAGATTCAATTACATTGATTGAAATTTGTTGATAACTATGTTGATATGGATTTATTTTTTTCTGTAGATGTTGCTATACATAGTAATTTTTACCTTGAATGTAATGTTTTCACAGTTTTCATCCACACTAGAGTTTAGTATTGGATATTCTGATAAAGCTAATGACACAGCCTGCAAACAAATAGATAATGTTCATAAATATATTAAGTTACATTCATTTAAAGCTTTATATTCATTATCACACAGAAATCAATCAAAGTCTGTGAGATTTTGAGTCTGCTATAGTTTACCATTCAAGTTTTGAATACTGTTTAAATTCTTAAAAACAAAGGTTCCCTCTCATACCTTGATGATAACAGGCATGTATGAGAATCGGACCTCCGATTTCTCCATCACACCCTTAACTTCGCTGCGGAGCTCGACTAGTTTAGTCATATCCACCTCGTCATTGTACCCGAACGTTGGAATGTGCGCGGCCTGCGTCATCGTCTTCACCATCGCTTTACGGATTCCTTTAATGACTTCTGTGTAATCCTTCCCTACAGCGATCGTCTCCCTTTTGACTGGTGTGGGTAGAGGGGACGGTTTCTGGGGTGGCGTTTTCTGGACTGGGGGTGGCACTTGAGGAGGTGCTACTATATTTAAACATTGAAATTGTTAAGGTACATCTATGTACAATTTTTGTTGTACTTTTCCCCCTCAATTATTTTTCTCTTCAAGTATTTAAAAAATTTGCTTGATTTTTTTTTTTTAATTAGAACAAGCAATGAAACCATTAAATTATATTTTTGTTCGTCTGGAATTTTGAGTTCTGTTTATGTTTTTATTTTTACATTAAACATGCACTGAAAAGTAATAATGTATAAAAAGAAACCAAGTTCACCAATGTAATGGTACAAAAAAAAACAAATGAAGCTGAGAAACTATGTACCTGTTTTCGGAGCCTTTGCTGTCTGTTTATTTTGTATGAAGGCTAAGATGTCTTCCTTCAAAACTCGGCCATCTTTACCAGTTCCTGTTACATCCCTCAAGTCAATCTGTCAGACAACAAACAAAAGTAGTTTCTATACAGTCAAGTGCCTTCTTTGAAACTGTAATTGTTTAGTGTAAATACAGATAGTGACACTGAGAACAGTTTAATAAACAGATTGATCTAACATAAAAAAAACTTTCAAACATAAAATAACTTTTAATAATTTATTTTCCATCACTGCCTCTATCTTCGTCTGTTAAATATATACTTGTATATACCTACAATGTAGAATTGTCTGTGCTTGCATCAGTTATCTACCTTGTTTTCCATAGCAAGTCTCCTGACAGCAGGTGTGGCCAGAGTACTTTTACCTTTGACCTTGTGACCCACAAACTCTTCATCTGAGGAGGTGTTACCACTATCGATAGATTCCGAACTTGAACTGGCTGCAAAATAAGACTTTTTATCAATGATTTATCATATTCTCATTTCACCTCTAAAAGATGTAAATATTTAATACATGGATATTCTGAGCCTGTGATGTATGTATGGGGACTACTAACAAGAAGCTCCATCGTCCAGTTCAATGTCCACTAGAGGTTGTCCAACGAGGGCGACATCGTCCACGTCATAATATATCCGCCTGATATAACCGTCGTATCGACTGGTGATTGTCACGGACGCCTTGTCACTCTGGACTTCACAAATACTGTCAAACTGATTCACATGGTCGCCCACCGTCACAAACCTATTTATAGTAACAGAATATAAATGATAGTATCAATCATTAATAACTTGATTAGTTTCATATTAAATTAAATCCTGTTAATCAACTCAACGTTAGTCCAAAAGTATTCCAATAGAAAATTTCATGCATTAACACTTGTATATGAGACAATTTGTTAATTTTTTTCAGGATTATTGAAATACATGTATAAAATTAAGATAAAACACAGAGGATTCAGTGTCTTTAAGTAAATGTAACAAAGGATATGTGCTGCATATATGATAGTATCTTTGCAAGGCAAGGGTTTTTGGTATGCTTTGCTCTCTTCTTCTCTCTGTGAAGAGCAAAGAAGACCAAAAACCCCTGGCTTGGGAAGATGTCACAATAAGTTAAGGATACTTTCTGGTTTTTATACTGACCATTCCTTGATGTGGACCTCTCTAATTCCCTCCCCAATGTCAGACAGTTTAAATTGTTCAATGTCTCCATAAGTCACTGAAATGTAACAATGCTGAGTAAAATTTTCAATTTTATATCACAGAAATTGAAATTATTGAGGTAAAAACCGAAAAAAAAGGTTAAATGTGTGCTCTACACATAGGACCACCTGCTCCCTTGCATTTATACCTTCATGGGAGTCAATTTACAGTACAATGCATGAAGTGTGTATTTAAACTGATTATGAATGAAGAAAATGAAGGAGCGATGCTGCAAGGACAGAAAATGAGAGAGAATGAATTAACAACATGAACAATGCAAGGGAGGGACAGTGGTAAAGTGAAGATGTGAGAATATAAACATGTAAAAGAAAATGCGTTCAAAGAAGGACTGAGAATATCACAATGTAAAATGCAAGAAGTGGTGAAGCAAAAGTACAAGAAGAGAACCAGAGAAACAAAGCAGGGAGCATGAATGCAAGGGTGATGTGAAGAAATGATTAAGGGCAAGGGGGAAGATTTTTTCCCCTTTATGCATTTACCGTAAGTTTTTGTTCTTTTCTTCATTTTTGCCCATGAAGTTGAAAACAATGGAGCGAGTAGCCCTATCGGTATGCCATTTAAAAGGATTTATCAGATGACTTGACACATGATGCAGTCATTACATACATTAATTAATATACATTAAAACCATGACAAACAAAATGCAAGAATATTTTTAATTTTTGTGTCTTACTGACTTACTTACCTGAACTGGAGTGAAATAATCTGTGGTTCAAAGCAATTCTGTGAAAGTTTGGCTGAGCCCATCTACTTTTGACAGGAGTTCTAAGTTGTCTCCCTTGGATCTGTCAGAAAAATCTTGTAATGCACAAAACTTTTAACTGATTTGTAACAAATATTTTAAAGTGAAATGTAATGCAGGATGAATTCATGTCATTTTCAAGATAGGTTCCTTTAGCAACTACAATACATTAATACTAGTGACATATCAACTAAAAACTGATGCTGTAACGTTACAGGTCTACAAGTCCATTCTAAACATAGCAATTTATCGCTGATTCAGCTTTTGTATGTTATAGCATATATCATTGTAAGGCGATCCACATTTGCAAAGAGACTATTGATGCATGTTTAATGTACTTACGACACATCGGCTCTGTTGAAAACATTTTCTGTACAATCTCCTTGAAACCAGTGAGGATGCCATTGAGTATGTATGTAGGGTATGGTAAAGTTTAGAGGAGTTTCGAACGTCGCTGAAGTCAATAAAACGCTTTAAATAGGGACTTTTATCAAGCTTCTTGTAAACATTGAATTGTTATAAACAAAATGGAAAAGTATGAAAAAATTAGAGTTGTCGGCAGAGGAGCTTATGGGTAAATATTGTCATCACACATAGCTTTGTGATTTGTATATAATTGTAATGAAGTTCAAGGAGGAGTACAAACATTTTGAAACTTCATTTTTCATTAGAATTTTACAGATACTATATTTTACAAATATGATTTAAGGAAATTCGGAATAATGAGATAAATTGTCTCTCATTATGATAGATACCGAATTCGACAGCTTCATTTTTTTTTAAATCAGTGAGAAACTTCTTGTCACTGGGTTCACAGATGTGTGAAAGTCAGTCAATATATAGGGTCTCAATAGCTGAGTGGTTAGAGTGCTGGCAGGGTACACCAGAGGCCCTGGGTTCAAGTCCCGATTGAGACTTCCACCACCTGTGACATTTGGCATCCAACGTATAAAATACACTGTTCCCTTTGAATATGCTTCACGCATTTCCTTAACTCCTAAAATGGGAGGATGAATTTCTACAAAGAGAGGGAATATATACTTGCCAACCTCCAGCATGTAAAAATCTGGTCATGACCAGTGCGTAAAAAAGTCAGTAACGACATTATATACCATGATTAGATTTTATACATAATTATATATATACAAAGTATTTGTGTATTGAGAATTCTTTTTTTGAAAAAGGCATTGATTTATAATTACCAAAAATTCATACATAATTTCATTAAATTAACATGTTAAAAAAGAGAATTGAAGGTTTCATATTTCAGTATTGACCTGAAGTAAGTGTGCATTTTCTTTTAAAAGCCTTTTCAGTTTCCAAAGCCCCTGTGTCTCATTAATTAACTACTGCAATATGTATATATTAAATGTGAAGTTAGGCCAACACTGTCTTCGATCACTTTATTTTATCATAATGAAAGTTTTTTTTTTCAAGATTCCTTGATATGTACATAAATACCTGTGACATTCTATTAGCCATTTTAAACTTAAAATCAAAACAACACCCTGCACTGATAATTAAATGAATAATTCAAACGATAATATATATTTTTTAAAATCGATCATTTAATGACAAAGAAATAATTCTTTTGTAAGTTTTTTATAGCTTACCTGAGATGAAAGCTCAAATGAGCTTTTCACCACCTGTGACATTCTATTAATTTAAACTAACATACCCATGTTAAATGAATAATTCAAACGATAATATATATTTTTTAAAATCGATCATTAGACAAAGAAATAATTCCATGTGTCTGTGATCACTCATTTTCTGTCACATTTTCAACTTCTTAAGAATCACTGAGGAAAATTTGGTACAGAGCATCCTTGGGTGAAGGGAAATTTTATTTGTAAAAATGAATAAATAAAAGCAATGAGCAAGCATATATCTTATGGATCTGAGAAAGGTAAAGTCTACCCCACACAATGCAAAAATGTGCACAGTAAATGTAACAACAAAATTTATTTTATATCTTTATATCACTTTATCTTACAACTAATAAAACTAAAACTAGTGAAATAACTGTGTTCCAGGACAGTTCATCTGTGTCAGAGACTGGCCGATAAGAAAATGGTCATTATCAAACAGATTCCAGTGGAACAGATGACAAAGGAGGAACGACAGGCGGCCTTGAACGAGGTCAAGGTCTTATCCATGTTGTCCCACCCTAACATTATCCAGTACTACGAGAACTTTCTGGAAGACAAAGCTCTGATGATTGTCATGGAATACGCACAAGGTTTTACTCAACACTTAGTGGTTTCTTGTGCTACTTTTAGAAATTTTTGGAGAGAACTTGATATTTTTAATCAGTAGTGTTCTTTTGAAATTATTTTCTTTATCACAGGAGGAACTGTAATGGATTATCTGCAATCTAGAAATGGCATTTTATTGGAAGAAGAGGTAAAATATTAATCTAACTTTACACTTCAATCTTAATTCTGGTTTCCAAGTATTTTTTTTTAACTCTGTTATAATAGTTTAAATTAAATTCATTTTGTTATTTTTTTTAAAGGAGATCCTGAAGTTTTTTGCCCAAATGCTTCTTTCCATTCAGCATGTTCATTCAAAACAAATTTTACATCGAGACTTAAAGACTCAGAATATTCTATTGGACAAAAAGAGAGAGGTGGTTAAGATTGGGGATTTCGGAATTTCAAAAGTTCTCAGCAGCAAAAGTAAAGCTTATACTGTAAGTATTCACTTGGCTTGATTTATACTGTAAGTATTAATTTGCTCAGTTCCAGATAAAGCAGTGATGTTGATGGTATAATATTAAGAGAAATATAATGACTAAATACTGAAGGAAAACGTTAAAAAGGTATTAAAGGCATTTTCAATTCTATACTAAAAGGTAAAAGTACTATCACCAAACTACCAAGGTTTTGACATTTCAGGGATGTTTTTCAAGTATAGAAGTAATCAGTACAATTTTATTCTGAAGAGATTTTTTGTTGAAAGAATAATTTCTCTTAACTCTTTATAGGCTGACTTTAAAAGTGTTCTGAATTTTGATTGATATTGCCATTTTGTTCCTTGCAGGTTGTTGGAACACCTTGTTACATCTCTCCAGAGCTTTGTGAGGGAAAACCGTATCCTTACAGTATAAACATTATACAAATCAACATTGAACATGTATACATATGATATATCTAGTATTGAAAGATTTGTTATTTTACAACAAGTACACACCTTGACTACTGAAGTTATAATCAGAAGAGTGATATTTGGGCCCTGGGGTGTGTACTGTATGAACTGGCAAGTCTAAAAAGAGCCTTTGAGGCTGCAGTAAGTTAATGATATTCGAAAGTTATAAATCACTGTAATGTGGACATCACAGCTTTAAAGATCAAATCCAGCAGCTGTAAAAAGAGACATTTTGAAATACCGTATAGCGGGTTTTTTTGGCGGGTGTAAAATTTGGCGTTATCTTTAAACAAGGTACACACCAATAATTTTCGTAATTTATTTTGGGACACAGGTGTGTATCTCTTTACCGATGAACACTAAAAAGACTAAGTTAACTACAGTAAGTTATATTAGCGATTAAAATTATCACATGGACATCAACACGCCAAAATAATCAAATTTAGTAGCTGTAAAATAACCCGCTATACGAAATATAGAGGGAATTTCTTCCCCTTAAATTAAATACATGAGAATTTTCAGCTACATTGTATTTAAGTTATGATGAAAATCAGGAAGAATTAGAGAAGAAATGACTCTGTTCAAACTTTAAAATAGATTTTTTTTATTATTGAATCAATTTTGTTGCATCAAATATACTTAAATATGTACATGTATGTATATTGCAGAACTTGCCAGCTCTTATCCTGAAAATCATGCGGGGAACATTTTCTCCGATCTCTGCGAATTACAGTGAGGAGTTAAGGGCCTTGATTCTGGGTATGCTTCACCTTGACCCAAATAAGAGACCAAACATTAATCAGATCATGGCACAGCCCATTGTAATAAACGCTCTGATGACCTTACACACAGACTTAGGGAGAATTCCATGCACCAAGTAAGTAACTCTGACTGGGTTGATAGAGGTTATATTTAATTCTCCCTCCCCTACCAATCCATTAGGATAATCAAAACATCTATGAGGTTAAAAATATTACATATTAACCAAGTTTTAATAGTGAGGACAGATTGATATGATATAGACATTTGTAAACAATAAGTCATTTATAATATAAAGCTATGAAATGATACTATAACTAGCAACCTAGAAGTCTGTTCTGTGGAAATACTTGTTGGTGAAATTCTTTTATCTGTTACTGGTACATCCTGCGTCTATCCTCAGTTTCTGTTGTAGAGTCAGTCGCCCCATCCCCCCCTCCACGGCTGCAGCCAGAAGTCGAATACCAACTCGGGGCAGCATGACACCAAGAGGTCAGAACATGTCGTTTTAATGAAGTGCAGTGAAATTGGTCTTTTATTCTCAGATTCTTTTAAATAATTTACAATAAAGATTAGATTATGCAAAGGTCATAAAGGGGTCAGCTGTGAAGACAGTATTAAGGTCAAGATCTAGTAAATGAAAGGTGCCTACAGATTTATCAAACTTGAGAAATAAATTCCTTTATTGATGCTTTACAAAAAATAATCGGGGCATAATTTGTAGGTAAACAAGATGAAAAGCTGTATTTTAAACTGTCATTTTCAATGATAAATTACGAAAACCAGTCAGAAATATGGTTTTTTTTTTAATAATCAACAAAGGAAATGTAAATTGCCTACAGTTTTTCAGAAAACGGTAATTAGTATGCTCATGGCCTCTTTTTTAAATCAATATCAAATTTAATATAGGTATCTGGTTTACTTTTCATATGATTTCAAATTCAATGTCATGAAAATACCCTATTTTCTACATAATTCTGCTAAAGCCGTAAAGTGAAAAAGAAATATATTGAGTATGACGTCATAATGGATCTAGCACCAAAAGATTAGTCTAAAGTTATTTAGTAGATCTTGACCTTAATCTTCATGATTTTGAGCTAATCTCAAAGACAAGGATATATTCATTATGTTTTTACACCATGCATGTTATATTTGTTTTAGCATGGAAAAGGTTCTAATGTTTATTAAAGCAGGATGTTATTTTTTTCATTACAGATGCTCTGCCTGCCAAACCCCCGGCCCTTAGTTCAGTGTTTTTCTGGGGGATAGGTGTCTCTTCCCCAATAAAGCTCCCCCTTCCCAGCAGTGATACCCAGGTGACCCAGGTCTCAACTGGGCGGACTCAGAAAGCGGCCGTCACCAAAAACGGTCGACTCTTTGTGTGGGAGGTAATCAAACAAATGTTATGTACATGTACAATGAGACAAGCACTGGGAGATGAATTTTGTACTGGAATAAACAGGGTGATGGATTGCACCTTGTAAAATAACATGGAAAATAGTAAATGGGAAAGAAATTTTACGTCGGAATTTACAGTTTGAGGGATTGCACAGGTGTTGATTAGACAGTTTTCACTTACATGTATATTAAATTATGACAATGGAGGTATCCAGCATTATGTACCTGAGTATTGAGTTACAGCAAAAAGAAACACTTCCGGTGATCATTCTGTTGTGTAAGAGAGATAAGTTTTTATTTCCAGTCCTCCACCGTCGGTACTGACACCCTGATCCCGGGGGCCACAGAGAGCCACACCCCCACGTATGTCCCGAGGTATCTGGAGGGTCAGTCAGGGGTCAACATTCAACACGTCGCATGTGGTGGTCTCTTCACAGCTTGTCTCACAGGTAAAAAGGGAAATATAATGCATATAATAAATCATTACTTGTTTCTAGACAATTCTAATAAAATAGAGAATAGCTGTTGCAATTTCCCAAATTTCTGATATAGACCGGTATGTAGGCAATAACAGTTATAATCTTTTGTCTAAATATAAGGAACCACATTCTAGATTAATAAAATATGAGAGATACATGTAAGTTTGCTTTGATTCCTAGATCGAGGGATTTTGATGACATTTGGCAGTGGGGTGTATGGATGTCTGGGGCATGGCAACTATAATGATGTGGCTCAGGTAAGATGCTACACATATTCCTCTTGACTATCTTTTTATATCTTTTCAATTTTAATAGGTAAGCTTATAATACTTGTTATATTATCTTCAGGCTAAAATAGTGGAGGATCTACTGGGTTATGAGGTGGTCCAGGTGTCCTGTGGTGCCTCCCATGTTCTAGCCGTGACCAATGAACATGAAGTTTTCTCCTGGGGAAGGGGAGACAATGGTAATCTGTCATGAAAAATTTTAAAAAGCTTACCTACATACAAGATTTACCCATGTACAAGATCTATCTCTGTACAAGATCTACTTTAGCATGGTTTGATGTGAAACATGATTGAAAATAACTATCAGATATCATATTATTGTCCCAGTCCTGGAACAGAATACTGTGATGAATGTATTATAATTGTATCTTAGGTCGTCTTGGACTGGGGGACCAGGAATCTTACTCCTCTCCTCGCCCCGTTTCTATCCCCGAGCCCCTCCGACCCTCTTCTGTACACTGTGGAGTGGACTGCTCTATGATTCTCACCCTGGACAACAAACTTCTCTGTTGTGGAAGCAATAGGTTTGACTCACGGTCTATCATGTTTATGACTGAAGCAAAACAGTATCTATTGTTATACAATAACAGTCAATTTTTTAACCTTATAATTTCTTTTTCTCTAAAACAGCTGTGAACTAGAGTGTGTATCATTCAGAAATTGACAAACTTTTACAAGTTAATGTTTATTGGTGGTTAATCTTTGAAGATTGAAAAGATCAGATCGTACAGGTGTAAAAAGTTAATTGTATCAATTTCAGGTACAACAAATTGGTATTAGATATCATTGCTACAGATGGTACCTGTATGAAGCTGGTAGATGAAATACACACCTTTGTTCAGGCAGCTTCTCATCCAATCGGAAATCTCCTCATCAAAGGTGTTGCCATGGGAACTTCCCACACAGCTGCAGTTACAGGTTGCTATTTTTGACTACTTTATATTGATTAAGGTACTGCCAATATCTCCTTTCTACTCGTAATCCTACAAGACTTTAAGATCTTGCATTGATTGTAGATGGGTTTTTCCCTTAGTTGTTCATTACATGTACTTATCATCCTTGAATCCATTGTATACTGACACGCAAAAGAAACGCAACACCCTACGTTAGGGTGAAATAATTATGTAAAGTAAAAAATTTAAATCTTAGAATTATGGATATCTTCAAATTGGTAAATATCGGTAATTTAACGGTTGAACAATTTTCATACCATAACCGGAAGTCAAGTTTTAGTCTGCATAACAGAAATCGAAAATTGCATGTTTCACAAAACAGCTGGCAATATTATGGAGTTTTAAGGCTTTGTACTGTTCATCTTAAGTAATGCAGCAATATTTCAAAAAATACAATCTCCTTTCGTTTCGCGTAACGATGCTAAAGCTTCCTGAAAATGACTTAAGTGCGCATTTCCATTGCTCTAGCTGGAAAATCACAAAGTGAAGGCGATGGAGAGTTGATGATGCAAAAATACACTACATTACGTCTCAACGGGGTCTTACGTTTTATATTCATAAATGATAGTCTTTGGACCGGAAGTCCAAGGGTTACTACAATGCGCTAAGTTAGAGAAAATTTGACCTAATCATCTGAAAAACAGGCATTTGAAAATGGTAAAGAATAATTCCTTCGCTCAGATCTCGATATTGTTTAACCTATTGTATCCTAGAAATTAAGCTGCTAATGTTGTTTAGGACAGTCTTGCACGTTGTAATTGAGTGGATGGGAGGGGGGTGTTTTAAAAGTCATATGTTACTAAGTAAAGTTAAAAGATAAACATTTAACATTTCTATCAAAGATCTGATGTTCTGAAAAGTGAGTTTAGCCTTACTGTGTTCTTTTTTAAAAATCCTTAGATAAAAAATTCAAACATTTGTAGATTACTCCTTGTTGCGTTTCTTTTGCGTGTCAGTATATAATATCAAGATGTAGAGAAATCTATCTTTGAGGTAGCTGCAGATCTGTAGCTCTCCGAAAAAATATATATTGATAGACAGGAGAGCTACAGTGCCATCCATTGAAAAAACTGTATATTTATTGCGCACAAAAAAGTGGGCTCGATTCTTGATTAATTTTTCCAAATTCTTACCTCAATTGCAAAAAATGGAAGATTTCAAAAAATTACTCTCTCCTCTATCAAGTTCTCTCGTAGTTGACATCTGAACAAAGCATATTGGACCGAATTATCTTTGAAACCAAAATGGCAGTATAATTAAGCGAAATGTCCGATGATTGCAATGTCAGGGCCAGGAGGACTATTAACAACAATTATGAGGAATGATTTGTTGTGGAAAGAGTCAAAGAATATGTTAGGAACACACGGTTAGTAATATTTTGAGATTACAGCTTTAAAAACATGGAGAAATAAATCGAGAACCGAGTGCATTTTTTTGTGGGCAATAAATATACAGTTTTTTCAATGGGTGGCTCTGTAGCTCTCCGGTCTATCAATAATTTTTTTCGGAGAGCTACAGATCTGCAGCTATCTTTGAGGTATATAATCTTTTGTAGCAGAGGGTAACTGCTATACACTTGGTAACAATCAGTTTGATATAAATAATCTTTTGTAGCGGAGGGTAGCTGCTATACATTTGGTAACAACCAGTTTGGACAGCTGGGTAACCAGGTCAGCAACAGCAGACAGCCACAGGAAGTCAAGATCGCACAGAATCAGAAGGTCGCCATGGTAGCCTGCGGTGACACATTCACTGTAGTGGTGGCAGAGGGTAAGGACTGGCAAAAATGTATAATTAATGTGGGCAATGACTGGACTTCAGTTAAACTGAGAGCTGCTCTGTCAAAACTTGTACTGGAATGTTGTGTAAAAAACTAATTACAAGTTTATTGAATGATTATCTTAAGATGCTGCGTATTTCCTTTCACAATCAAATACAAGAGTTGCATGGTTAAATAAATCTGAGTTTGTCAGATTGAGCCTTTTCATGTTTGTTTTTAATTTCGATTTCCTATAGAGGGAGAGGTGTACTCCTTTGGGAACCAGTCCCGGGGTCGACTGGGGCGTCCCGAGGAAGACCCCACAGAACCCAGGAAAGTCCCCTTTATAGGGGAGGAGCCATTTAATGTCGTCTCTCTGTCCTGTAGTCATGGCAACACACTTCTAGCCACTAGACGTATGTATGATTAATATATTTATGATTTTAATAACATCGTCCCAAGTATGCACATTAAACCAAAAGCATCATTATTTGCGTGATCAGTTTGAAAAGCATGGTCAGTCTTTTCATAGGTCTAATCACATGGTAAGAATATTTAATGTTAGAGGAATTAAAAATTTTGTCTGACATCACATTCTCCTTGAAAATTTAAGTCATTGAGTAGATAATTGAAATCCTATGAAGTTGATGAATCTGTTCATATAATCATATTATTTGTTTTACAGCCACACAACAAATGAATGGGGAAAACATATAAAGCCAACACGGAGAAGATGACTGCACTGATCAGGTTCAGAATTAGGATGTTTGAGTGGATTGCCTTGGTGTTTGGTTCTATGGCCGAAGTAACTTAATTGTGAAAACACAGACAAAACCAATGAAAGTATATTTATGTGTACCAGAATATCCACATTGCAGTTTTCACATTGGAGCTGTATCTTCACTGTGCGATACCATGTATTCTATGGTGATATTTAAACACAGACAAAGGTGTACTTGTATCAGAATTTCCATGCTGCTGTTCTAAATTCTGGAGCTGATACTATACAAACCAGAAATCATGTATTCCTTAATGTACACCTGTGCTACATAGGCCTTTATGTTAGAAATTAGGCATTCATTCATCATGAGTTGATGAAAATCATTTTAGAAAGCTTTTATCATGATCCGTCCCTTTCAAAACATGCATTTGTGCCAAATGAAAACCATTTCTTTTTAAATACACATATGTATGTGTATTGTGTACTACGCCAATTTTTGTATGTTTTTTGTTATGTTTTTTTATTTTGCATTTGATGATGTGCCAATATACATTTAGTGTGCAATAAATACATGTAATAATCAGATTTTTGTCTGTGTTTTTTTTTTTTTTTTTTTTAGTTTTATATTTATGTAAATCATATCAGTTTGTTCTCAATTTGTTGACTTAATACCTATTTTGAATTTTTTAATTTTCAGAGTGAATTCAGAGATCAAAAGAGTAAGATACAGAATTTTTACCCATATTCTCAAAAATAAAAGTTAAAAAAAAAAATCAGATATTATGGTATTATCCCAAAATTGATTACAATTGGTTCAATTGAGAAGAAGCTGTATATGCTTGAATGTTTTTGCCACAATGCCTAGTGCAATGACAATGGAAAAATACAATAGTAGGTCACTGAGTTACTCAGGTTACAGAAAAATAGTCCAGGAACTTCAAACTATTCCTACAGAGAAGGAACTCTTTGTTACTAATACATGTATCTCTATATACAGTTTTATATTGCCCTCTTGACTAATACACTTGTTGATCACGATCAATAATTACCAAGAAAAATAAATGACTACATCACTCACTGAAACTGAATCTTTATTATGTTACACATAATGCATGATTACGACAGTTTCCAGGCACTACATTTTACTATGCACTATTCATAACAGTAGTTCACTGAATTTATGAACAAAGTACAAAAAATATACAGTATATGCAAAGAGAAAATTAAACTACCTTTAAAATGGTCAATAATGAATTGTGTTAAACACAGATTAAATGTTGCTTTCTACTTCATGTACTATGACTTCTGTAAGAGACTTAACAATTTTGTGAATTTTTTTTCTGTCCATGTACAGACTTGACCATGCAGTGAATGGCACGAGATGATGATACAAGTGACAGTATTTAAATCTGACAACTAGTCACTGATATAATTCTGTCAGTTTAGGCAACACAATTCTCACGTATCAGTCAGGTATGTATGAAACTTTCCTGTACATCTTACTCTGCTTTCATATACCCGGGTACATGAACTTTTTGCTTCAGTCAAACGTGAAAACATCCATATTTTCATGATTTAGACACAAATAACTCAACTTTGCTCTTATAAATACACTGGCTACAGGTGTCTTGTAAATCAGATAAATATGGGGGCAGGGTCAATTTTGTCCCAAAGCTCATTATGATGTGGAATGAGAGCTAAAGATGTGACGAGCTCAGGTAGACATGGGCGGAGCTAGTGGTGTCATGGCTTCCTCCAGGTTGATGTGGGAGATGAACCTCAGTCTCAGAGTCAGGGCTGGCCTGAAGTTCCGGATTATCTTCTCGATGTCATTCTTCACGCTATCTCCCACAAACATGTACTTGATGTGGTATCTATATATTGGTCAAGGTTATAAGGTTATTTTCTACTGACAAAAGAACTTCAAAAGATTTAATTCAAATTATATGTCATAAATTATTGCTTAAATATTTTATCTAAAATCTAAAGAGACAACCACTATCAGTGAGTATTAGAAAGGATACAGGAAATCTGTAATTGGGTCAAGGTATCGCAGGTGATCACATGATTTATCTACATTGACCAGAATTTCATACAGCTCCACAACCAACTAAGAAATAAAAGAAAAATATTTAATTCAAACACATGTAAATAAAAATATCTAACGTTCAAACATCTGTATGACTTGTTGAGACACTGACCTCCATGAGACTCTTGGTTTTCTCAGAGTGAAGTCGCTGTAGGAATGGACCCACCAGGTGACACACATACAGAAACTGTTCCTCCGTCTTCACTATAGGCTTCAGGTGGTCCCTCAAAAATCTACAACAGTCAGGGGGACACACGTGTAAGTGCAATTTTGAAAGTGTATTGCATAAAAAAAAATTTAATTGTAGTATAAGTAATGCAATACGTATCATACCATAAAAAGGGCTTATAATTTCCGCTCTACCAAAAGTGGGAATTGCACACACAATCAGATAACTGTCCATACTCAGCCAATGAGCTGAGATAACTGTCCTTACTCAAAATTTGATTTGAGATAACTGTTCATACTCACACATAGAATTGAGATAACTGCCATACTTAACCACTAAACTGAGATAAATGTCAATACTCATACATTGAGTTGAGATAACTGTCTATACTTACACATTGAGCTGAGATAATTGTCCGATTCCTGCATGGTGCCACACAGCATGAGACAGGGCCAGTAGGTAGGTCATGTGTTGCTCAGCAAACACGGTCTGACTGGTGGTAAAGTTAAACACCTGGAACGGCTGACACCCGCCCTGTACTGTCAGAGGCAGGCTACAGATTGTCTCCCCTATCTTGTTGTTCAGAGCGCTCCAGTATGCCTCCTGAAATAGCAGAATATAAAGGTGACACCTGAGGGGAATATGTTGTTAACAGACCTTATTTCAAATAAAGTGCCCCGCCACAGCATGATACGCCCGTCAAATATTGTTCAATAATCATAAATTGGTTAGGATGCAAGAAAATCAGGTAGCCATGATTAACAGATTGACACAGATTTCAATTATCTATTTTCCATTTCTTATTATACATCTCTAAGAGATTTACAGTGTAGTCATGGCTTCCTCCAGGTTGATGTGGGAGATGAATCTCCATTGATTATAACAAATAATACTAGTGAGACATGACTGCAATTTGTAGCAAATATATAAAAATTGAAATTTAATTTTTTTTTTTCATTAACACATGTATAATTAGTTTTAATCATATTGTAAAATACTAATTTAGTTTTAATCATACATTAAGACATCAATTTGTTTTAATTAATTACACCAATTGAAAGATCTTTATCTGGACTAGCCATCAAGAACTCTTAATTAGCACAAGCAACTATGAGGCCATTTCTTTTTGCCCAACTCCCAAGAGATGAATTAAGATAACATCTGCATCAGATCTAGAGGTGCTCTTAGCTCCTGACAATAAACTCATTAATTTCTCTCTAATTTGACATGCAAATTTCTGCTATCAAAATTCTTCTTGACCAGTGCTTGATAATTAAGCCCATGGGACAAACTGAATTCCTCTCAAAGCATAAACATTTGTTACAGATTGCTGTAAAGTATATAATGAAAAAACAAGTTTTTACTTAATTGAAAAAGGTCTCTGACATCTTGTTCATGTGAGGTGAAAAATGGGTAAGAAAGAGAGGTATAATGTTTTTTTAATAAGCATACAACTATATTTTTACATTTTTTAGGATTATGAAATTTAGAATTTAAAAGACTTAGTTTTTTTAAAAAATTCACTATAATTAAAGGTCACAGTGACCTTGAAATAGGCCGCGACACACCTTCTACTTTAGATGTATACTTTTGCCAAGTTTGAAAGCTCTAGGTCTAATAGTTTTCTAGTTATGAGCCGGACAGGATTTTTCCATATTTGGCTACAGCATCTTTATTAAAGGTCAGAGCGACCTATTTTTTGTGCGCGACACACCGTCTACCCAAGAAGTATGAGTTGACAAAGTTTGATAATCCTAGGCCTAATAGTATTCAAGTTATGAGCCGGACAGGAATGGACAGACGGACAGACGGACGGACACGAAGCCTATAACATAATACGTCCCGTCCTAAGACGGGCGTATAAAAAGGCTCATGCCTCTGACAGCTTGTTCATACCAGTTGAAAATGGAAGAAAGAGAGGTCTAGTCACTAATGATGTAAACATAAATTATGTCACAATTCTTTCAATCCTTGTTCATAGATGTGATATCATGACAGTATTAGTCAAAATCATTTATGAAGTGACTTGACTTTACATTTTAAACATTCATCCAGAGTATGGCTACAATCTGATTGAAGATAACAAACATCATGACCTTGACCTTGCGCTAGATATCAGACTTACAGGTAGAGCTGTCAGAACCAGTCCTACAGCGTTCATCCACGACATGACCTTGTCCCGCTGTACCTGGGGGGAACTCTTCATCACCACGTCTAGGAGGGAATTCCCCACCACGTTACCGGGTACAGGAAGTGCCATCAACTCCACACAGGTTACGTACAGAGCGTGGGCAGCCGGTCCCGGAAACTCGTTAAATCTCCAGTCACAGTTAGGGAACGGGCTCTTACCATCAATAGCTGGGAGGGGTTAAGGACTGTAACATGTTTACTGATATCTTTACCTAAGATTTGATAGATTATTATACATTTTGTAGCTCATTCATTTCAACAAAAAAGAGAGAAATGACAGAACATGTTAACTCTACTGAATACAATTAAAATATTTGCACAATGAGCACAAAAACAATATCCACTGCAGTTTTATTGACAATTTTTTGAAACATTTTGGGTGAGGGTTTTGAAATACCCTCTAAACATGAGCAAAATATATAAATAAATAAAAAATTATGACTGGGTCTGCAAAATTCTCTATTAGAATTATGCTCTTAGTTTTCTATACATATCCCAATCATGTTTTAAAGGGGTGGGGTATAATCTAAATAAGAATTCCTTCATGTT